AAGGTATTGGGATGGCAATTATGTGTACAAAGTTTAAACAATTAATCGTGTTTTTTTCTAGTACCTGGCACTAATTTTGTCAAAATTGACCAGAGTAAAGTACCCCTTGGAGGCAATGGGGGGAAAAATTGTTCCACCTGGCAAAAAGGTATTGGGATAGGAATTATGTGTACGAAGTTTAAGCAATGTAGCGTGTTTTTTGTAGTACCTGGCACTACTTTTGTCAAAATTGACAAGAGTAAAGTACCCCCTGGAGCCGAAGGGGGGAAAAATGGTTTCACCTGGCAAAAAGGTATTGGGATAGGAATTATGTGTACAAAGTTTATGCAATTAAGCGTGTTTTTTTCTAGTACCTGGCACCAATTTCGTCAAAATTGACAGGAGTAAAGTACCCCTTGGAGGCAATGGGGGGAAAAATTGTTCCACCTGGCAAAAAGGTATTGGGATAGGAATTATGTGTACGAAGTTTAAGCAATGTAGCGTGTTTTTTGTAGTACCTGGCACTAATTTTGTCAAAATTGACAAGAGTAAAGTACCCCTTGGAGGCAATGGGGGGAAAAATGGTTTCACCTGGCAAAAAGGTATTGGGTTATGTATTATGTGTACGAAGTCACAGCAATTTACCGCATTTTTTCTAGTACCTGGCACTCATTTTGTCAAAATTGACAAGAGTAAAGTACCCCTTGGAGGCAATGTGGGGAAAAATTGTTCCACCTGGCAAAAAGGTATTGGGATAGGAATTATGTGTACAAAGTTTATGCAATTAAGCGTGTTTTTTTCTAGTACCTGGCACCAATTTCGTCAAAATTGACAAGAGTAAAGTACCCCTTGGAGGCAATGGGGGGAAAAATTGTTCCACCTGGCAAAAAGGTATTGGGATAGAAATTATGTGTACGAAGTTTAAGCAATGTAGCGTGTTTTTTGTAGTACCTGGCACTAATTTTGTCAAAACTGACAAGAGTAAAGTACCTCCTGGAGCCGATGGGGGAAAAAATGGTTTCACCTGGCAAAAAGGTATTGGGATGGGAATTATGTGTACAAAGTTTAAACAATTAAGCGTGTTTTTTTCTAGTACCTGGCACTAATTTTGTCAAAATTGACAAGAGTAAAGTACCCCTTGGAGGCAATGGGGGGAAAAATTGTTCCACCTGGCAAAAAGGTATTGGGATATAAATTATGTGTACGAAGTTTAAGCAATGTAGCGTGTTTTTTGTAGTACCTGGCACTAATTTTGTCAAAATTGACAAGAGTAAAGTACCCCCTGGAGCCGAAGGGGGGAAAAATGGTTTCACCTGGCAAAAAGGTATTGGGATGGGAATTATGTGTACAAAGTTTAAACAATTAAGCGTGTTTTTTTCTAGTACCTGGCACTAATTTTGTCAAAATTTACAAGAGTAAAGTACCCCTTGGAGGGAATGGGGGGAAAAATTGTTTTACCTGGCAAAAAGGTATTGGGATAGGAATTATGTGTACGAAGTTTATGCAATGTAGCGTGTTTTTTGTAGTACCTGGCACTAATTTTGTAAAAATTGACAAGAGTAAAGTACCCCCTGGAGGCGATGGGGGGAAAAAATGGTTTTACCTGGCAAAAAAATATTGGGATAGGAATTATGTGTACGAAGTTTAAACAATTAAGCGTGTTTTTTTCTAGTACCTGGCACTAATTTTGTCAAAATTGACAAGAGTAAAGTACCCATTGGAGGCAATGGGGGGAAAAATTGTTCCACCTGGCAAAAAGGTATTGGGATAGGAATTATGTGTACGAAGTTTAAGCAATGTAGCGTGTTTTTTGTAGTACCTGGCACTAATTTTGTCAAAACTGACAAGAGTAAAGTACCCCCTGGAGCCGATGGGGGAAAAATGGTTTCACCTGGCAAAAAGGTATTGGGATGGGAATTATGTGTACAAAGTTTAAACAATTAATCGTGTTTTTTTCTAGTACCTGGCACTAATTTTGTCAAAATTGACAAGAGTAAAGTACCCCTTGGAGGCAATGGGGGGAAAAATTGTTGCACCTGGCAAAAAGGTATTGGGATAGGAATTATGTGTACGAAGTTTAAGCAATGTAGCGTGTTTTTTGTAGTACCTGGGCACTACTTTTGTCAAAATTGACAAGAGTAAAGTACCCCCTGGAGCCGAAGGGGGGAAAAATGGTTTCACCTGGCAAAAAGGTATTGGGATGGGAATTATGTGTACAAAGTTTAAACAATTAAGCGTGTTTTTTTCTAGTACCTGGCACTAATTTTGTCAAAATTGACAAGAGTAAAGTACCCCTTGGAGGCAATGGGGGGAAAAATTGTTCCACCTGGCAAAAAGGTATTGGGATATAAATTATGTGTACGAAGTTTAAGCAATGTAGCGTGTTTTTTGTAGTACCTGGCACTAATTTTGTCAAAATTGACAAGAGTAAAGTACCCCCTGGAGCCGAAGGGGGGAAAAATGGTTTCACCTGGCAAAAAGGTATTGGGATGGGAATTATGTGTACAAAGTTTAAACAATTAAGCGTGTTTTTTTCTAGTACCTGGCACTAATTTTGTCAAAATTTACAAGAGTAAAGTACCCCTTGGAGGGAATGGGGGGAAAAATTGTTTTACCTGGCAAAAAGGTATTGGGATAGGAATTATGTGTACGAAGTTTAAGCAATGTAGCGTGTTTTTTGTAGTACCTGGCACTAATTTTGTAAAAATTGACAAGAGTAAAGTACCCCCTGGAGGCGATGGGGGGAAAAATGGTTTTACCTGGCAAAAAAATATTGGGATAGGAATTATGTGTACGAAGTTTAAACAATTAAGCGTGTTTTTTTCTAGTACCTGGCACTAATTTTGTCAAAATTGACAAGAGTAAAGTACCCATTGGAGGCAATGGGGGGAAAAATTGTTCCACCTGGCAAAAAGGTATTGGGATAGGAATTATGTGTACGAAGTTTAAGCAATGTAGCGTGTTTTTTGTAGTACCTGGCACTAATTTTGTCAAAACTGACAAGAGTAAAGTACCCCTTGGAGCCGATGGGGGAAAAATGGTTTCACCTGGCAAAAAGGTATTGGGATGGGAATTATGTGTACAAAGTTTAAACAATTAATCGTGTTTTTTTCTAGTACCTGGCACTAATTTTGTCAAAATTGACAAGAGTAAAGTACCCCTTGGAGGCAATGGGGGGAAAAATTGTTGCACCTGGCAAAAAGGTATTGGGATAGGAATTATGTGTACGAAGTACCTGGGCACTACTTTTGTCAAAATTGACAAGAGTAAAGTACCCCCTGGAGCCGAAGGGGGGAAAAATGGTTTCACCTGGCAAAAAGGTATTGGGATAGGAATTATGTGTACAAAGTTTATGCAATTAAGCGTGTTTTTTTCTAGTACCTGGCACCAATTTCGTCAAAATTGACAAGAGTAAAGTACCCCTTGGAGGCAATGGGGGGAAAAATTGTTCCACCTGGCAAAAAGGTATTGGGATAGGAATTATGTGTACGAAGTTTAAGCAATGTAGCGTGTTTTTTGTAGTACCTGGCACTAATTTTGTCAAAATTGACAAGAGTAAAGTACCCCTTGGAGGCAATGGGGGGAAAAATGGTTTCACCTGGCAAAAAGGTATTGGGTTATGTATTATGTATACGAAGTCACAGCAATTTACCGCGTTTTTTCTAGTACCTGGCACTCATTTTGTCAAAATTGACAAGAGTAAAGTACCCCTTGGAGGCAATGTGGGGAAAAATTGTTCCACCTGGCAAAAAGGTATTGGGTTATGTATTATGTATACGAAGTTACAGCAATTTACCGCGTTTTTTTTTAGTACCTGGCACTAATTTTGTCAAAATTGACAAGAATAAAGTACCCCTTGGAGGCGATGGGGGTGAAAATGTTTTCGCCTGGCAAAAAGGTATTGGGATGTATATTACTTGTCAGAAATATTAACTCCTAACTATTACTCGTTTAGTACCTGGCAGCGGTCCAATTCCAATCCGCAAATTAGACATACCCTTAGTTCTGGTACATTTATGTTACTTCAAAATATTATTCTATTACTATTTTATTACCTTTTGGTTCAAAATTCTATTACGAAAAAATTAATTGGTGTGGCAAGACTGCTCATATGCATCCGATGTGGATTCTCAAACGCGGCAATTGTTTCTGATATCTATTCCAAAAACAATCTTCACAATTTACAGTCCAGGGGACCTATTTTCAAACCGTGTGAGTACTCATTTCTCTCAAGATTCTCATCAGAAATGTCATACGTCAATGTGGAAACGCTGTTTTTAAAGGCCTCGAGGATTAAAATTCTTAGGAGGATATTAATTATCTCTAATTAAACCGTGAGAAACAATCAGTGAGTTTACACTGGCCCTTAGGACCCTAAAAATACTGTTTTACGTTGACGTATGACATTTCTCTCGAGAGAAATGAATTCTCTCGACTTTGAAAATAGCACCCCAGAGTATCTGTTTCATTTTTGCAGTGAAAATGTATAATCAGGGCAGACGAGAGGGGGGTAGCCGGGACACATTCCCGGGACCCGGTAGCTTTTGATGAGGACGTTTTATTTTTTTAGAAGTTCACCACAAAAGGGAGGAGCGCTGGTTTATGTAAAAGAAAAGATGAGGACCTCTTTATTCTTTAGAAATATGATATTGAAAGAGCTTTATTTTTTTTTGTAAAATTGTCGCGAGGCCCCACCTGGAAAATTGTCCCGAGGGCCCACCTGGCCTGGCTCTCGGCGGCCCTGTGTATGATAGTCATTTTGGTATTGGTAGAAAAGTCGTTCGCGGTGATCTCTTGTCAGGGATTTGTTACAAATCGCAGTTGCGCACAAATGTTTCCGAATAGTGACAAATCGTGTACTTGCCGGCGACACTGACGACAGGCTCCGCGAATAATAATAAAACGACTGAAATTATTGTTGCACAATGTTACGTCAGTTTCCTTCGTTTATTTGCCTATCTGGCTCGTAGTGATCGATCATTAAGAATGACATATCAATGGTGTCATACGTCATTTGCCATTTTGGCACTTTAAACAAATGTCACAATTTCTAACCTTTCCTGAATCTATCATGTCGTTTTGATCTAATTATTTTATAAATAATAGATTTTCAAAGATAGAGGTATTTATATTGACAAGAATTGATACTTTCATTATTAATAAATGCCCAAATTTTAACACATCCGTAATTAAACAAAGCGGTTTGATAACTGTTTTTAACTATATTATGTAATTTTGAAGTTGCTCATTGAGTCTTAATTTTAGGTATGTTGCGTCTAACAATCTCCAGAGTCCTCAATGAGGCTAAATCAAGCCCTAAACATTTATTTGTTGCTACAAGAAGTCAAAGTGGGGAAGTAAAAAAACCTGAGAAAATTGAAGTATTTATTGATGACAAATCAGTATTGGTAGAACCTGGAACAACTGTATTACAAGCTGCTGCAATGATAGGAATCGAGATCCCTAGATTTTGTTACCATGAACGTTTAGCTGTTGCAGGAAACTGCAGAATGTGTCTTGTTGAAGTTGAAAAGTCTCCAAAACCAGTTGCGGCTTGCGCTATGCCTGTTATGAAAGGTAGTTATGTTTTCAAAACAACATACAATAAAATATGAATCAAAACTAGCTACAAATTTGAAATTAATATCAATTCTTTTAAGGATGGAGAATCAAAACTGATTCTGAAATGACCAGAAGAGCAAGAGAAGGTATAATGGAATTCTTATTAGTTAACCACCCCCTAGATTGTCCCATTTGTGATCAAGGTGGTGAATGTGATTTACAAGATCAAAGTATGGCCTTTGGTTCTGACCGCTCTAGGTTTACTGATATTGATTTCTCTGGAAAAAGGGCTGTAGAAGACAAAGATATCGGTCCTCTAGTAAAAACTATTATGACCAGGTGTATTCATTGTACTAGATGCATAAGATTTGCTTCTGAAATTGCTGGTATAAATGATTTAGGTAATTATTTATTTTTATTTAAGGTACATCTTACAAACACCCAATGGTAATTACAAGTTACAAGTAACTAAATTTAAAAAAACTTACTAAAAATAAATAATACTATTAACGACAACAACAACAACAATAATAAGTAAAGTGACAATCCATCCTGATTTAAGTGGGACTAGTATCGATTTAAAATGTGTCCCACTTTTGTCCGATTTAAAAAATGTTCTAAATATTTCATTTAGGCCACCTAAAAATACAATTTTTATGGTGCCGTAACAAAGCCTCGTATTAACAGGTTGCGTGAAAGAGCGCCACTTAACTGTGGTTCTGTGAATTTGCAGTTAAGTGCCAATGTTGCCCATTGCTCAATGTGTAATCTCGTGTTAGAAGTTATTATTTTTTGTTATCTTTCTGTTTCCTTTGTAGAATGTTCAATACTTTAGTCAGTATATTTATGAGGGACAAATTAATTCTTGGACCGAAAATAAAACTCCCAAGGACTTAAACTAGGTCGAAATATTTAATCATTTTGAAGAAAATAACATTTCGTGTTAAAATTTTCTGCAATTAGTAGAATACATTTTATGTTTACCAGGTACTAAAGCTTCCACAGAACTTGTTTTTTCCATGATCAATAAAATTTGTTTGACACAAAAAACTAATCACTTTGAAAGCATTGATTATTATCAAATGTAACTTTAAGGGAGACCCTGTATTTGGTTCTATAACGAACTTTTAAATAATAAGCCACTTTAAAAAAACAAAACATCAAAAAAAAATATTTTTTGTAACAAATTTAAAATATAACCAACTAATTTATCGGAGTTTAGTTTTATTTTTACGCAGTTTTTATTCCCTAGCATCGCCCCCTCCATGTATTCGTTTTGTCCTGTTTTCTACTTTTTAAAATATGGTCACTTTAATAATATAGATAAAGACATAATAGAGGAACAACATTTCACTAGGTATTTCTTTGAGAAGCAAGATCAAGTTACATTAATTCAACATGAAATGCATAGGAGAACCACTGGTAGGATGCACATGAAAAGTATCAAAGGTGTTTAATGTGTAGAAACATGATATTTGATGTAATTAATAAAGTTTTTAAATTTAACATTAATATAATAACACTCCTTCTAACAGATAGTTGTTGAATTTGAAATATCTCTAACATTTCCCTGGAAAGGATGTATAAATATTAAGGGGGTATCCTAAATTTCAGGCGTTGCGAAACATTTTTACTATCCATTTTTTTTACATAATTTTTAGTAATATTTTAAAAATACAAAATAATTTTGAAACAAAAATCAAAAATTCATATGAGGTTGGGAAGTGGGGGAAAAAAAGTTAGTCATGGTTGACATGATTCCAACCCTTGTAGTGTTCAGAACCAAAAACAAAAATTAAAAAATTCTTGAATAGTAAAGACGTCACTATATCCCGGACTTGAAAAAAAAAATTAAAAATATGTTCGCAAAATAGCGAGGATTTAAAAAACAAAATTCTTTTCGGCCTCTTTTTGACCACGAATTTTTTAAAAATAGTAAAAAAATGTTATTTAAAAAATCCATGTCCCAGCTATAGAGACGTATACAAAGAACATTTTACCAAAAATTTTAGTAAATCGGTTAATTAGAACTTGAGATATATCATGTAAGTAGTTTCGTGAAATTCGCCTTTAAATTTTCGGGCAGCGTAACTCATAATAGAACCGGTTCTCCGACGCTTCATAAAAACAGCTGTAACTCTTAAAATATTCCTATTTTCAAAAAATCCCATAAGGCTCATATTCTTAAAGGTCAAGACTTTCAAAATATGAAAGAAAGAAAAAATTTTTTTTTTAATTTCTAGACAAGAATAAACTTTTTGTAGTTAAGTACGTAAGGAACTTTTTCTGAACGGTTTCTATTAAATCTGTTATATTCCGGAACAGGAGACCAAATTACACATGCATATTCCAATGAGACCATATAAAGGTGTTATAGAATTTTATTATAGTATCAATTTGCTAAAAATGCTATATGTTGTGAATTATTATCCCTAGGTACTTAAATACTTTGTTGATAATGTACATTAAATCGAAAATTCCACCGAAAAGTGATATTATTTTAACTGCTTATGTATGGTGACTCATGAGTTGTATATTGTTGTTTGTCTTTCATATTAGTTACTTTCTCCTAACCCAAAAACTTTATCTGTCTTGATCCCACGTAGACATCCACCTACCATGTCCTTAGTAACCTCTATTAATTTTCTAATAATAAAATGATATTGTTGATAGGTACAACTGGTAGAGGCAATGACATGCAAGTAGGCACATACATTGAAAAACTGTTCATGTCTGAACTCTCAGGAAATATTATTGACTTGTGCCCAGTTGGGGCTCTCACCAGCAAGCCTTACAGTTTTACAGCTAGGCCCTGGGAGATTCGAAAAGTCGATTCTATAGATGTTTTGGATGCTGTAGGATCCAATATTGTTGTATCAACTAGGACCGGAGAAGTTATGAGGATTGTACCAAGAGTGAATGAAGAAATAAATGAAGAATGGTAATCAAAACAAATTAGTATTTCAATGAAAACTCAAAAAGACCATTTTATTTACAGGTTAGCAGATAAATCAAGATTTTCTTATGATGGTTTGAAGAGACAAAGGTTAGTGACACCAATGCTCAGAGATAAAGATGGAGAATTGAAAGCAGTTGATTGGGAAGCTGCTTTAGTAACTGTTGCTAAGGTTATTAAACATGCAGGTAAAAAAAATTGTAAATTTTGTTGTATGTTATTTATTGATTTTCATGAAGCAACATATGGATTTTTTTCCACCAGTATTTTATAAAAAAAAGTATATTTTCTATTCATTAAAAAAATCAAATTCAACTAAGGTAAGAGCATCAGTAATCGACACTAGAAGAACATCTTATGGCAATTTAATGTTATTTGGAAACACCGGTAATTGACACCCTTTCACCAGTTATTGACAGTTTTACTAGTTATCGACACTACAAAGTCAGAGTATTAAGAAGTCGAACACAGGACCCCCTAAAACCCCAGCAATCGCTAAAAAGTGTCGAACACCGGAGAATAATATGCATATGCATACAATGTTATCGACACCCGCAATATTTAGGTTATAATCCAAATAAGGAATGAAATTTTACCAAAAACGTGTTTTAGAAAGCAAAGATACACAAAATTTTATTCACAAATCTTAACTATTTAAAAAGCAACAACCTATTTTATAATTTACTTACATTAACAAATTTCTTTAGAAAAAAACGATATTCACGCACTCCACACTCCGTGCACCCTTTGAGGATTTTTACAGTATTGACAGAAACATTGAACTTTCGTTCTGGCGGAGAATTGTATACAAATCAACACTTGCCCTTGTTAGAACAGTTTGAATTTTAAAGTGTTGATTACTGGTGTACTGTCGATTACCGTTACTCTTACCTTATATAACCTTGGATTCAACCATTTTTTTTATTAAAAATAGGAATCAATATTTTCAATTAATAATAAAAAAAAGAATTTTAAACTAAAATTTTACAAAAAAAAGGCCTTTTTTGCATTTATATATTTATGTAAAACCAATATTTTTAAATTAATTTGTAAAAAAAATCTTTTTAAACGAAAATGTAAAAAAAAGAAATAATGTCTTCTTTGATATTACAAATATGTAACCTATTGCTTGTTTCATATATTTAATTTACTTTTTATAAAAGTAAGGAGAACTCCTTTCTACACAACAAAAATGGTAAAATCGTATTTTTTTAAGGTGACAAAATTGGAGTCATAGCTGGTGGCTTTGCTGATGCAGAAGCCTTGATAGCTCTGAAAGATCTCTTGAACAGACTCGGATCAGAGGCCCTGTGCACCGAGCACACTTTCCCTCTAGATGGGTCAGGTACTGATCTCAGATCGAGTTACTTGCTTAACAACAAAATCGCTGGAGCTGAAGAAGCTGATTTAGTATTGCTGGTCGGTACCAATCCGAGATTTGAAGCGCCATTGTTAAATGCTAGACTCAGAAAAGGTTGGGTTCATAATGAGTCAAATGTGAGTAATTTGTTACCGATTAATTAATTCTGTAAGATTGACAGCTATGTCAATTATATTTATTGTTTTTATCTAAATCATTTTACTAATGTGAGTAAACTATAGATTTTTTTTTATTTTGCAAAATTACATATTGTCACATGTTTCATTCCTAATATGTTTTAATTGATAACCGATTCTAAGAAAAAGTTGTGTATTGTTAATTTAAAAAATTTTATATTGCTGATTGGATATTGGCAAAGTTGTCTAGTAATTATAAAAAGCCCTAATAGGGTTTAACACTAACAACTAGAAAAATATAATTTTTAGGAACATTGAATTAGATTATTTGACTTATAAGAATTATAACAATTTATAACCATCAAATAGTAATCATGCAAAAATTTAAAACCTTTTGAGGATAATAGGAACTTGTTTTGATTTGTTGTCAAGCTATAATAATTATATGTGTTTATAAATCATTTAAATATAATTTGTTCTATGTAAGTGACTTTGTTATTCAAACTGTTATCCAGTTACATTTTTGTTATCCAGAGCTTTTGTCACTTTTCTTCCTTTGAATTTTAAATGCTTTAATTTATTTCTCAAATTTAACTAGTTTTAATTTATTTTTCATTACACTTTGTATCCATAACTTATATGATAACATTGTTCATGAGTGTTATTTTCAAATTTAGTTATAATTTTTTTAAATTGATTAATTTGGTTTGATCATTAACTAATATAAATATTATTTGTATAAATCAATAAATGGATTTTAATTACTAACAATTCTCTAGGTAGCTTCAATTGGCCCTAAAATCGACCTAACTTACGAACACGAACATTTAGGCGACAATCCGAGTGTACTACAACAAATTGCTTGTGGCCAACACCAATTTAGCAAAAAACTCAAAGCCGCCAAAAAACCGTTGATTATCGTCGGTGCCGAAACATTGGAACGAAAAGATGGCGGTGCTATATTGTCGGCTGTCCAAAGCCTTGCTGCTTGTACACAGCCGGAAGATTCGCATTGGAAAGTGCTGAATGTGTTGCATAAAGTTGCCAGTCAGGTATGATATTTTATTTTATAGATTCTACTACTTGCGTTATTTATACATAATGGAGTATTATGCAAGGTGAACAAAATGAAGATTATTTTGGGTGATTACAGTAATAAAATTATAAAAATATATTTTGATAAATACGTTAATGAGATTAGGAGTTAATTGAATCGGTTATTTGGAAAAAGGAACATGTCTAATGTTTGGCTATTTTAAGATTTTACCACCAATTTACATGTGAAGGGAACTTATTCGGTTGTTAATTATATTGGTAGTGAACATTTTTTCCATTTCCATATCCACAACGATCTTGATGAAAAATTATCCCTTGCAAAACCACTACACCCTCGTCCAAAGTTGCCTACAATACTAACCTATAAGGCCTATGCTGATAAGCTTCCCATTAATCAAGAAAATGGATAAAATTAAGTCGTATGCCGGATGACAAAATAAAGTTTTTAACAATGAAGTGATTCAATGGTCAGGAAAAGATTTAGAGAAACGTCCTGAAATTTTTTTTTAATATTTCATTTTGATATTAATATTTTATTTTTTTAATATAATATGTTTTAACCTATTATAAACAAATTTACAGTATTTTTATTCTATTTAGTTCGAAAAAGAAACATGTCCAAAGATATTTTTTTAAAACATTGAAAAAATTATAATTTATGTTTGTAAGCTTACAAAAATATCATTAATACATTTTACTAAAATATCAAGAAAATTATATTACTGAAAATTTGTTGCTCCTGTAAAATTACCATTTTTGGACATGTTTCCTTTTCCAAATAACCGATTAAATTTTAAAGTCTTATAGCATAATAATCGATTATCTTCTTTAGAAACAATAAAGAACAGTTAAAAATATCAGAGTGAGAATAGTGTTTGTACAACAGTATATCCGTATATCCATATTTTGTATGTTTTTAGGTCGCTGCTCTAGATATTGGTTATAATCCAGGTATAGACAAAATCCGAGAGGGTAATTTGAAAGTACTTTTCCTCCTAGGAGCAGACGAAGGAGCAATTCACAAAGAAGACTTGCCTAAGGATTGTTTTATCATTTATCAAGGTAAATATTGTGTACTATTTCTATATTAAAAAAAATGCATTTCGAATGGCGATATTAGAAGTATTGTTTATTGTCCATCAAAAAGATGGCAAAGTCTGCTCTGTCAAGTCCCCCTTGCCGTTGACAATTACCATTTGGAACCAGTCTACAAAGTTGTTTTATATATTGTATAATCGGATATTCAACAACAAATCAACAAACACCAAAGCACCTTAAAACTCGAAGTTAGACAATACATTTTACACTATTGTAGTTTTGATTACTTAACTCGTGTTTTCTTATGAAGTACAAAAGTTATTTTTGGAACAAACCGTTTATATATTTATAATATTTGATTGTAAATTACAGGAATTTATATAACCTAAAGGAGCTTGCTTGTAAATTTAAATTACTTTTAGGCCACCACGGCGATCAAGGAGCTAACATAGCCGACGCCATTTTACCTGGAGCCGCTTATACCGAAAAGCAAGCTACGTACGTCAACACGGAGGGAAGAGCACAGCAAACCTTAGTCGCAGTATCGCCGCCAGGTAGAGCCAGGGAAGATTGGAAAATCATAAGAGCGCTCTCGGAAATCGTGGGAGCCAAATTGCCGTACGATAATTTGAATCAAATTAGGGATAGATTGGATGAGATTGCACCACATTTGACCAAATATGGAGCTGTAGAAGGTGCTAATTATTTCAAACAGGCTGAACAATTGTCGAAAGTAAGTATTAAATCAGTTTATCTATTTGTAGATAACAAATAGTTGTGTAGTATAGGCTCGATCATAGGTTAAATAGCCACTTTTATTTAATATACCATAAAATGGGGTGAATCGAGACGATCCTAGTATCTTTTTACTGTAATGGGAGAAAAAACAAATTTTTGGGGTAAAGTGACTACTATACTGTTCTTGGAAAATGCTTAATATGATTTTTAACTTTGATCATGAAGCTAAAACTATTTTTTTGTGCTTATAATGATTGACCCTTTGGTTTCTCGAAAGTAAGGGTGGACACGCAGTTGTCGACCAGGTCGCGACCACTAAAACCATTCATGTTAATTATACATAACATTCTACCCACCACGACCAAGAGGTCGCGACTGCTAACGCCGTGGCCAACAAGATACATTGTGTTAAATTAGAGGAAACGCACTGACGACTGACAAATATAAGGAAGGAAGCTGCTACTTGCTCGATATTCATTTTAAAAATAAGAATATTGGTCCCTTGAAATTGGACACAATCACTGTCGCAAATATGTCTTGGTCGCAACCTAACACGTCGTAACATGAATGGTTTTAAGGGCGTGCGCCCACTGGGCGATCAGGTCGCGATAACCAGGTCGTGGAGACCACTAGAATCATTCATGTTAATTGTACATAACACACTACCGACTACTACCAAGAAGTCGCGACAGCCAATAAAAAACGATTTGACATATAACAGGGACAGAAGTTGAAAAGTCTTTTGATATGTAGAGAGATGGTAAAACGTCAAACCGCATCGGATGACTTTGAGAATTTCACGGTAACGTTTATTCGCCAGAATCGTATCATAGAATAAAAATAATGCCAAACATTTCAAATGATTACTGGTGGAAACGGGCAATCGTATCTGTTTGTGGGCTAGAAATAATTGTTTAAGCAAGTGATAGCATCCCAAATCATAATTCTACAAAATTTGAACAGCTATTCACAATTTATTAAACTATTTACACGAAATTGTTATTAGCATCTATAAAATAATTTTTTACATCAATGTTTGACGTTCACTTCAGTTAACTCCACGGCGAAATTGTCAAATCATGTGGAAGAAGTGCGAAAAGCATTTCCAACTTCTTCCCCTGCTATATAGATAGGCAGTAAAACGCTGCGACCAACAATATACATTGTGTTATGTGAAAGGTAACGCACTAACGACTAATAAATATAAGGAAGCCGTTACTTGATTAATATTCATTTTAAAATTAAGAAAATTGGCTTGATATTGGATGCGATCAGTGTCGCAAATATGTTCTTGGTTGCGACACCTGGCCATCCCAACCTGGTTGCCCAATGTGCGCACACCTTAATCCTATAATAAATACTCTTCACAGACTACTGGGTGAAGAGTATAATAAAAACTAATGGAACACAGTGCTATCTCATTAACATTAATTGTTTTGTTTTTCTTTTTAACACTTCTGTAGGTGTATATTCCTGAACATTTATATAATCTATAGAGATAAAATATGAATATCATTAATTATGTTTTGATTTTTTTTTAATTTACAGAATACTAAAACGGCGTTAGAAAGTCAACCAATAGACGTGAAAATCAAGGAGTTGCAAGATTATTATATGACTGACTCTATTAGTAGAGCCTCGACGACAATGTCCAAGTGTGTGCAGGCAGTTTTAAAACAAAAGCAATCCAAATATTCTAATTAGTGTGATAGTTATAGTGAAATTAAGAACTTTGCTTTAGTACAATTCGAAAATTCAAAATAGAAAATGGATGTTTCATTTGAAATTCTTCAGAATAAAACTGAAATATGCTACTTTTCACTAGATGTCATTAAAAATGTAAGACTACATTACTCATTAGTTCTTTTTTTCTGTAGATTATGTATTAATAACCATGTAAATAGTTTTGTCTCATTATAGAAGCTGTTTTATTTTGAACATTTTCATTTGAAAATATCTTACTGCGCCCTTTTTTCATTTTTCCACTTTATATTTTACCACTGTTCAAATCTGGTTATTTTAATGTTTATTTAATTCATATGTAAATATAATGTTTATTTGAAGTGTTTTATTAAACCTGCAAAATTAAAAATTGTATCAAATAAATATATACACTTAATTTGGATATATTTAAAACATTAATTTCGAACAAAAAAGTATATCTCTGGATTGCTTTAATGATCTCTGAGTAAATATGTATTTCGAATATATATCAGGAAGCATCCACAACATTTGGGCATTACTCGAAATCCTTTTGAGATTATAGACATCAAATAAAAATATCCGAGAACACCCACAACTTCAGAAGCCCAATATTTAGTAATGAATTAATATTTCGTTGGAATTAGTTGTCAATTCTTATACGGGAATTAGAACGTCTTTATCCCCTGGTGCTTAATTTCTCAGCGGTGTTACACAAGGTTCCGTCTCCGGTCCACTTTTCTTTGCCATTTACATTGCCAACTGCACTAAACAAAATTGTTACATAAAAGCTATTATGGGAACTTCTTCCAAATTCCTAAGTTAGTGACGCTATTATAGCATCTTCCGCTATTCAGATTGACACCTGACCTATGAATTTTTTCAGAGGTTTTCTCATAGCAATAGGAAGATGTTGGGTCAGACCATCTTCTCAGGTTCCTTCCACCCATTCCCTACACAATACAGTGCTGTGATTCCCCGGATCCCTCCAGTGCGGCTGAAGAGACTAAAGGCCTATAGCAGCCACTTCCAACATGGAGAATGAAATACAAATATTTTACCTTATCATTCAGTGTATAATTTATTTAGAAAGATTAAGTAATAATATATCGTCTTTATTCATCAAATTACAAGTGTAAATATATAAACGAAGGAAGATGAAACCGTTTAGTACTTAACCCGATATAGTACTGTTCGACAAACAGGGTAATTAAAGGTTTGTAATTGAGTTTTCAGTCCCAGCTGAAACCAACATCCTTATTATGGAAAAGCGTGCAAAATACATTACACTGATTATCAAGTTGCAAAGACTACCCCGATTATATATAAGGATGGTATTCCCAATTGTGGGGGTTTTGAGCTTGATTCCTCAAAACCCCCTCAAGGAGCTACACAAAAAATACCGGCTTATGGAGACTTATCAAAATAACTCGTGGTGAAGATGCAGAAAGCGGTAGTCTTGGGTCCCTTCGTATTTTGAGAAATTGAATTTAGTCAAAAATCACTGACCGAGTGGATACAGTGGAATATTTTCTATGCGACCAGACATTTTTTGACATTAATAATAATACTCTCCCTATTCACCTCCTTATGAGTACATTTTAACCCCAGAAGCATAGCTTGTGAGGGATAGAGATGCCTATTATTATTTGCCGTGGCGCTCTAGGGCGACTTGCAGAAGATCAATGGCACCATTTGAGTTACAGGTGAGGAAAAGCCCACCCACCATCTGTTAATTCTGAAGTTTCTTTCGTGTAATTTCTTTTGAGCTGGATTACCAACTGCCCAAAATCAACTCATTGTTCAAGATCTAATACCATTTGGTTATTAAAATTTTTTTAAACTAAAATTTTTATGTGTACGTTAATGGTTTCCAAATGTTTATTTAAGTTCTTCAAGATGCCTATAATAACAGAACCAACTAACTGGTATACAACATACTAGGAAAACGTCTGAAGGAACTAAAAAGAAAAAATTATTAAGATTACTTTATTACATTGTATTAGTGATGACGTACCTAATTTGTCTGGCAAACAATGATGTTTATGTACTAAATATCTAGTTTTTGAACTGAACTGTCTATTTAAAAGCCTTAAAATATATTCCTAAAATAAGTAACATTTTAGTTAAATAATTGTTTGGTAATCAATTCTGTAAAGCAATAAATAAAAATAGAGATTATTGGGTATTCAATAGTTCGTTAAATACATACCTAAAAACGTACCCGTATTTTGGAAATCACAAAAAATTTCTATAATTGATTTCGGCGTAATTTCCTATGAATATTATCTGTAAACATTCAAATTACACTTTTTTGGCTCTTCACTTGTTTTTTGTTTTGTTGATCCACCACGCTGTTGCTTTTATACTGCGAAGTAAATTGATTTCGGAATGATTACGGTCATGATTTCGAAAATTTCTAGAGAATTTGTAGCGATTTCGGTGTTTTAAAGTGAAAACGTACCAGTTTTAGGGAGTGGTACATCATTCGCCTTAATACTACCTTTTTACGTCCTGCAAACAATATTTAAAACATGTAAAGCGGGTATATGTCAAAATCAATGACATAATGGTTTGTTTTTGTTTGGCATACATATTACGTCATACTAATACACAGTATTATTCTATTTTGGGCTTCCTACTATTTAATCTGCCTTGTGTATACAGACGACATCATAGGTTCACTACGAAATCTCCGAAATCGATTTTGTAATTAGAGGCACTACATATGTAGTCTGTCCATTACAAGCACGTCGTTCCAATAGGATTTTTTAATTTTCTTCAATCATTAAATTAGCCGAGATATGGTTCGAATAATGCAATATAACTCCTTATAGAGCCGCAGCAGGTCCGTCCACTCCTTAACGGAAAGCATAGTTAGATTACCAAGAACTCAAAAACTGGAATAATTGTCAGTTACTGGTAATTCAAGGTCACCTAGCAGTTGATTGGTAGGTATATAGACATCATAGGCTCACGTGTTTACATATTTTAAATTAATGCAAATACACACGACCTCCTATTGCTTAAGTACCTAGTTAAAAGTATTTTTAAACACTCGGAATTTCAGTAATTGTGCTTATTTTCATCATAATAAATAAAAAGTGATCCTTGATCAATGTTCTCACAAGCGTATCAAATAACTCGTGTTTTCCAATTCTATATAAATATGTTCATATTTATAAGCAATTTTTAAATAAACGAGGCGATTGCTTTATTTTTATTCACAATACACAATGTCTTGGCCGGTATATGGTTGAAATTTATTTTCCACGCTTATTTTTTATCCATATTTTAATTTTTTTATCAATTAATATCAATATTTATTGATCAAATAAATTCTCGATATATTAAAACCGAAATGTTTCAAAATTATTCTCTAACGAAAAATAATTTTTTTTAAATTTATCGAGTACGGCTCTGCGACAACAGGGTCGTTCATATTGCGCATGACTCATCGATTTTCGTTTTAAATGTCAAAAGTGTTGTTGCTAGTGATGAAACATAGGATTTAATAAAAAGATAAGACAATAAGGTAAGCGTTTTTTAGTAAATTCTTAAAAATTAACTTTTATTGAATGAAAAGGCCAAAAAAAATCCACGCGGCACAATCGTAAACAAAAGAATTCAATGTCATATTCAGCCCTCTTTATGATTTAGTATTATTGAACAGTACCGTATCATCCAATATGCATTTGATGTATTTGTTTACAATTTGAAAAATATTTGGCTAATTAACAAAAACATACACAGGTTCTTTTCTAACAAATAAATAACCTAGTACAAGTAAAAAAATGTGATGTGTAATAATTCTTCAATACCTAAATTAATGCGCAGAGGTTGAAGCTAGGTCATGAACATTGATTTTACAACACAACCCCCACACCACAGGGTTGTATCAGATCAGGTCTTTATAAAAGTGGGTGTTGGGTGGCGCTGTATGAGTCATGCTAGGGTTGAGAGTTCATTGGAATCTTTCTCTACAAATTGTAAGTGATATCGTGCAAGGATTTGATATGAATCTGGATATGGTTTATTCGTTCATTTATAAATAATGTTTTTTAGAGGCAAATTGAGATTGACCTTCATAAATAAAAATCGTTATTGGATAGACGTGTGAAGCATCCAGCAGGCATCAACACTTAAATTCTATGGACACAATACATGTAGTTAGTTAATTTGAATAATTTATTAAGCAATGATATATAAGTATATTGCCATCTTCAGGGCAATTTGATAAATAGGCCTAATTTACAGAAATTTGTAAATAAGTAAAAATAATGGCCATAAATATTTAGGTAGTGGTTTAGCTTATTTTTAAATTTTTTTTTTCAGTTCATGTTGGTACAGTTTTGGATTCAAAAAATGACACTGAAGATTTTTTCTGAATACTTACCTATCATATTTTACATGTTTTCGAAAAAATACATTAGGTTTTAGGTTATTTCTCAACATGTATGGCACATCTTAACTGAAATGCAATTTTGTACTGTAATATAAATAAATAAAGCAACTTTTTGCTATGAAATGTTGAAACTAGAGCTACTTGCCATCAAATATGAGAAACATTTTTCAGCACATTTGATTTTTTTTAAATATCCAATTGGAAACATTTTTGACAAAAAAAACTGGTAGATGAGTGTATTACATTTTAAGTGGTCTTTTTGGTTTTTGAAAATTCGAATGAGCCATAAAGTTGTTATAGGTTAAGAAAATGTGAAAAGAATTAAAGTTGTCCAAATTCATTCAAATTTGGCAAGTGAGTAGAAAACCGAAAAAGAAACTTTTTAATTTTTAACATTTTCCGAAATTTTATTTTGAGAACTAATAAGTTATTGGAATTTGATTAGTCTCAAAACAAAAACTGTTCATGAAATCTAAACATGTGTGAACACACAACGTATTCTCTGGTCGGTTAAGAAAAAATGCTACATTGAATAAGCAATTATATAAAGTCGACAATGTCATAGATGGTTCTTATAATCCCTCATCTTACGGCAGAGAGTGGCATGGCATGTCGCCTTTTTTGCTAACTATCTGTAGTTGGGTACAGGGGCGTGAACACTGTGTCCTGGTGGTAGAAGCGATCATGTGATCTATGAAATTCAAAGTAAAGTTGCTAATTGATGATTTTTTCTTTTTTGCTGGCAATGAAATATACTTCTGGACGTCAATAACAATAAAAAATCCCTTTTGCAAGAAAGCATTTCCTGTCGTCTGGTTTTGCTACTTCCGGTGTAGGGATTTCGGCCACGTGACTCAGGCGCAACTTTTCTAGTCGCATGTAATTAGCTTATTACTATTGTTATGTAATACACTATTTCGAAACCAGTTCCATAATGTTCAACATTTATGCAACTGATTGCGTAAAATAGATTAT